CTATTAATTTCTTTGGTTTCACAATCTCATATCATAAAAATTCCTTACCTTTCCTTAGCCACATTATAACCTATTGAAAAGTCCTTTTGATTTGTGTTATGCATGTGATCTAAGTAGTAGAGAGTTGAGATGATAAGCAAGCCTATGGTAGTACAATTTTATGGAATGAAGTTGAGTGAAATACTTGCCCTAAACACTCGAGAGTTGGAGAATTATCTTGTGAGGGTCTACCAATTTAGTTTACTCTGTTTTGAAAGAAATTGCAATATTGATTGATTTTTAGGTTGTTGAGATAATTGATTCATGATGTGTTATCAATCTTGAAGATTTTTATTGCCTCCGTGTTTATGACTTTCCAAATTGTGATATCATTGAAGAGTATTTATACATGTATAAAATTTATACAAAGATTTTGTGGGTATATCTTCCGAAAACCCTCACGAGACATAACTCGTCCACTAGGGGTGACCTAGAGGTTTAAAGGCTTGTTGCATATGCTAAATGCAATCGTGATTCCTACGAAAGTGAGTTAGAATGTATTTAATTTCATGTAGTTAGTTTAGTTTGTTTTGCCGATGATGTACAAAAGATCAAGTGTGGGGGAATTTGATAAGTATAATTTATGCATATATTTTATGTAAACATGGAGCTTGAATTCGTTAATTATGCATGTTATTTATATTTTATTTGATATAAATTCATCCTCATATGCTTTGAATTTGTAGGTATAAAGATTAAAGAGAAGACTAAGAAGTAAAGCAAAAACAAGGACTCGAAATGAAAGTAAAAAGCAAAAGTAAGGATTAAAGAGTAAAGAAGAAAAAGTGTTTGACTTAGACACCTTAAAAAAATCAATTCATCACATTACGGAGAGACTTACGTGCTTGACAAAAAAGAAGGAGATTGTAGTATAAAGGAAAAGGTGATAAGCATGATAAGGTTGACTTAAAGCATGACAATGTAAAACTAAAAGGAAGGTGACGTGGTGGACTAGAAAAGGAGTCTATGGTAGTAAAAGAAAGAGTTACGAGCATGGTGAAGGACCTGGAGGACGACAGAGAGAGAAAAATAAGCAAAGTAAGCAGAGTTGCACGACATTAAAAAGAAAAAAAGAGTTTTGCACGGCAGTAAAAAAATTTGGTATATAAGGCTTGGGACTTGCATTGCAGAGGGGGATTTTGGACGGCCGGAGAAAAGAAGAAAATTGGAGCGGCGATCGGAAGAAAAAAATACAGATTCATTATACAAGTAATTGAATTTTCTTTAATTATTACTTTGATGGATTATCGATGTGATATTTTATTTTTAGATCCAATAAATTTCTTGATGGAGAAAGAAACTGTTAAGTTAGGGATGGAGGATTTTAATTCTTATTCTATGTGATTAATTATTTTTCTCAACTCAAAACTTGATTCTCGATGTATGATGAATTTATATTGCTGCATTTAATACTTTAAGAGAGCGATCACCTCTTATTGATTTAATGACATGTGCTTGAGCATGAGAAGGGAATTATATGTGTTAGATCAAAACAATATAAATCACTAGTTTACTATTAATCGAAAGACAACTAGTTCTAGTGCGATAATGGAAAGAGAAGTGCGTGATGGCATGCTTATTTTACATTAGAGGATTTCATTAATTGTAATGCATTTAGATCTTAATTTAAGTCACATAGAAATATGGATGATTTGTTAGGTGAAGAATAGGGTTAATCCGACTAGAGATAGCTTATTAACTCGTTCGGGGAATTTCGTCGTCAAATATATTAAGATAAACCTCAAAGTAGTTTGTGAGTTGAGTTAATATAGTTAATTGCATAAGTGAGGATTAAATGAATCTATCCCTAGCTACTTTCATATCATCTTATTAGTAATTTTCAATCCTACAACTTTAGAATAGAGTTTTAATTTAATTCTTTTAATTATTTTGATTAATTCAACTTATTTTAAGTTAGATAATTTTAGTAGTGTAATTTAATTCCTCATGGGAACGATACTTTCTTACCCTTTATTGCACGATTAGATTGGATTTATTGCTTTTTTGATTGTGTTAAAAAAGTAATAACACTTATCTCCAAGCTTAATATCATTAATTTTGAGAAATAATCTATATAATATAGTTTTCGATTGAGAATGAAATTTGCCTTACTATTGAAATAATGGGGTGACATGTGGATTTCGATAAGAATGGATCCCAATTTCCTTCATGAATGTTAGGGGCCCATTTGGATTGAATAGATCTGATTGGATTGAATTGAAACTAAAAATGATAAAGTCTTTCTATATTGATTAATTGCAACTCAATTCTAATAATAATAATAATAATAATAATACACATTTTCCCGTAAATTATATTTAAAGCATAAAAAACCCAAAAAAATATATAAAAAAAGGTTATGTATAATAAGAAAATATTACAATTGCTATGATATAAATAAAATTGTGGAAGATTACGATATATGCAAGAAACTAAATCTCATGTCTTAATAGGCAAGAACTCAATCACTTGTACACGGTAAAGTGTGAATTACCTTAAGCTACCTAACAAAAGTAATGCAAAATGTGCAGGTACAATAATGTTTTTATAGAAGTCAATTACTTAGGACAGTACCATTCATCAATTTTATTCTTATAAAAGAGGGATACAATTGAAATTCTAAACATGATCAAGTCCAATCACACCTCCGGAGTATGCTTGAACTACTGTGGAGCAACACATGTATAACTTTCCATGACCCAATAAACAACAATTGTTTGATTAGTCACACCTCCGAAATGACTCATGAACTAAGGAAAAATATTGCTTTCATTGCTTATAGTAGTAATCAATGATATGGCAAGCTACAAAAGAAATGAAAAACATTATGATCCATATTAACCATCTACTTGGTATTTTTCGAGTGCAAAACTACACAACAGTCCAAAGAAAGCAATACTATAATTCCTAATATACAACATCAAGTTTGTCTTAGATGCAATTTTGGATATCATCGGGGGCTCATGCTTGTGCTAGGTGAGCCCTAGTACCTTAAGCATGTTGATTAGAGGCGTTGATGATATTCCGTATTATTAGAGAGTAATATAAATCATATCCCGAAATTTTATTTCATAATTTAAATTTATGGATTGATATAGTTTTTTGATATGGTATCGAACTTTAATAACAAAACGATTATGAATTCGAATCTCAATATTTCTATTTTTTCTTTTAATTAAAATTAAATAATTAAGTACAAGATAATTTTAAACCTATGCAAGTTTTAAATTCAAAACTTTCACTCGAGTCGATATTTTAACAATTCATAGAGTTTTACCTAACAATTTAAAATTTTCGAGTTAAAATGATATTTTGACATGATAACGAGCCTTTGTGATTATACGATCATGAATTTGAATTTATTCAAACATTAAGCATAAGGTAGGTCATGAGTTAGAATCTTATTATCTTTATTCTTCTAATTAAATTAAAAAATTAAGAACCAAGTAATGATGGATTTGCACAAATTTCAAAACGAAGGTTGCAACAACAAACTCGTTTCTTTTATATATATATATGAAATTGTTTTTTAGAGGAACTCGTCAAATGACCGGCTCATTCAAAAACTTAAACCGTTAGGTGAGGTCCTAGGATATGATTTATATTATTCTCTAACACCCTCTAAATTCAAAACCCTTTGGGTTTGAAACTTGCACGAGCGAGAGGATGGTGAGATTCGAACTCGCAATCGTTTGATCATTAAAGCTCTTATACTATGTCAAAAGACTATCTCATTTAAAAGCTTAAGCTCGTTCGGTGAGGCTTTATGATATGATTTATATTATTCTCTAACACAACTAACTCTTAATGAAGAAACTGCTTCATAGGAGACCTAATTAAGTTCATTAGACTCGGATTTACTATCATTGAATAGCAAGATCAGCCACTAGATGCTATATGATACTTATTATTATTTGACAACTTTACAAGAACATATATAAGTTAGCAAGTTTTCTACTTATATATGTGCAAAAGTAACTAACTAAACACTTCATTCTGGAGTACTAGTAAATATACAAGAATATTGTGACTTCTGGATCATAGTAAAGTACTTTACATCTCTCCCTGAAAGAAAACCAAACAAGGGAAGGCACATGGAAAAAAAAAAGGTGGTAAAAGCTCTGAATGCAAAAGTTTGAAATGTGCACACATGCATGCATGGATGCATGAAACTACAAATGAAACAATTTCCCATCTACGAACTATACGTATCTCCATTAATGTAAATCCAAATTCATTCCATTCCAAGCAAGAAGGTGATTTGATTTCGAATCATGTATAGATGGTGTATTTGATCATGATTTTCAAGTTGTGTGGTGGACATGACTTACATTAAAGAGATGGAGATTAACATATAAAGGGATCTGCCTTGTTTTTCGATACTATTAAAGAATAAACACCAAGAAGGCAAAAGGTGGAAGGAAAACATGCACAAACTGCAGAGCTGGGCTAATCAATATGCAAGAACCATGCGAAAAAAGCTACTAATCAGGGAAGAAAAACAAGCTAACTCAAAACAACAAGCAGCTGCCTTTATTTGTTAAATAAAGGGATCTGTCTAGATGTCATTTAAATTTGTTAAGGAAGTCATCATGTTAAGGAATTGATCAAGACAAACTTGTAACCTTTTATGTAATTCATGGTCTGTCATTTATAGGATTGTTAGCTTGCCATTAAGATCAGCTCTTGCTGTTTTATGTTAGTGATCTCACCAATTCCACTTGAATTCTTCTATAGATAAAGTTTGCAAAGAGTTCATGAAATTGACACAAGATTACACAGTTCCTACCAAAAGAACTAAACCTGCAAAAACTGAAACAAGTAGTTTTAGCAAGCTAACATATATAAGCACAACTAATTTAAATCTAGGGTTCAGGCCATTAAGAAACCAAAGAAAGAAAAAAAAAAGAGGCATTTCAAGGCATGCAGTTAATGTTCTCAATCACTCAGAAATTAACATATCATGACACTGAAATCACATCATTTAGTTTTCTTTGGAGCCCATCTGCATCAATGCAGTTCAGATTGCTAGCCTGCAAGAGAAATTCACCGAAGGAAGGCCAAATGGTGTTGGATTTTTCAGTAAAGCTGAAGCAAATTTCACTCAATTAAACTTAGAAAGAAAAATGAACTATGGCCTATGGGCAATACCTGGCATTGAATAGTGGTATAATGCATTCCATCTTTTTGGGTGGAAACACAGCTAACAACATCAAATCCCTCTTCAAGTACTGCTTCTAGCACTCTTGATAGAAGAATCCCTTCCTCTCCAGAGCCTCTACTTACGACAATCTCCACTACACCCAAATACTGGCGGACCGTAACACTGTCCAGCAAATTATGGTCTGCAATTTCAGTCCCTTGTTCAAAAGCACTAGAGTTAGACAAGTTCTTGAGCTTATCTCTCTTGACACTCAATCCTTGGATGTTTCCCTTTAGATGCTCGATATATTTCACAGCCTCATTCATGTGATCAGACATTGAGCGCTTTCCCTGCAAGATTTCCCAATATCAAGAAAAACCCTAAAAGCATGATTATGTGTAGATCAAGAACACCAACCTCAAGAGAAAGAAATATGAAGTAGCCATGAACGCAAGATTAATAGATATGGTAATTAGGGTAGCCATTTCTCACAAATGTTTCTTTTCTATGTTTTTCCCGTCATATTTTGGAAACCTAGTAAAGTTATGCTATATAACAAAGGAAGAAATTAAGTAAAGCAAAAACGTTTCTTGACCTGAATTGATTCAAGTGGGAGGAGGTTTCGAAGTGAGGCATGAAGAGTGGAAATTTGTTGCCTCCTTTGCCGTTCGATTTCCTTTCGAGTAACCTTCTTCTCATCACAAACAATATTTCCACTACGATTATTAGCATTTGTAGCTGCTAATATTTCATGTGTCTGCTGGACTTCCACTGATGAGGTAGTTAGGTTACTAGTTCCATGAAGCGAATCTTGGTCCAATATCAGATCCTGATCTTGATCAATATCTTCTTGGTAGGGATTAGAGGAGATTTGGGACCAAAGTTCATCACTACTTTGTTGGAATGGAAACATTGAATAAAGACTAACTATTCAAAGCTCTTAAACTATATTTTACAGCAATGATGGACTTAAAGAAATGGATACGGTTGTTGTTAGAAATGGTCCTTGATCATTAGTATATATAATATAGCAAGATTTCCCTCCGAAAAACATCCTAGAGTCAAGATGGAGAGAAAACGTGGCCAAGGCTTGGTTTGTGGGGCGCTTTCAATTTGCTATTGAAGAAACGGCAACTTCATACCATTCACATTTTGTGGGACCGTACATCATGTCGGTCTCATATTAATTTTGGCTCAATTCTGTACAGATTATTGAATGTAGTGAAAAATGAAAAAGAAAAAGTAAAGTACCTAGAAATATGTTTAAAATATGATTATTCGACTTTATGTTTGTGTAGACAGGGTCTCCCTTTATCTAGGGGGAAGACAAATTATTTTGATTCTTGTTAGAGATAAGTCGTCCTTGTTAATGATATTCTTGCTCCATTTCGTAGGACTTTGAACATTTTGGTGAGTAGGATTGAAAATGACTCGAGGTCGTTAGAAATTAACTATTGTAAGTTAATGGAGTGTCAAATTAGAATGAAATATAAACTTTGAACTCGATTATTTCTTTTGTTTTGTTGCTAAACCTTGATTATGGTCGGTGCAATTAATGCATGTGTTAGCTATTGATTTATTTATTTAAAAAAAAAAAACAGATTTGAACTCGATATCTTTTAAAAGCAAGGTATTCCAATTAGCACGTTATATATAGTATATTGATTTGAGAATAGATGACAACTGATGGTTTCTTTTTCCCAAAATTTATGGGAAAAATTTAATGATAGATATATGCTAATAATTAATTAGCTTTAACAATCTCATTCAGGATTTTACAAAAAAAAAAAAAAAATCTCATGAAGAATAATATTATTCTAGCAATAAAATAAAATAAATAAATGTGGTAGTTTTAAGTGAAATATTTGTGTAAGTTGTTGCTTAACATAGTTCATAAATATTTGTGCAAGGATAGTAATCTATGCTTGAAGGGTTATTATAAAACCTATCCCATCTCCAATAACAAAACAATAAATAAGTAATATATAAAATTAAGAATGAGTCATCTATCATAACGCTTAAGTTTTTTGAATGAAATTCAATATCAACTATTTAATTTAATATGGTATCAGAATTTTAAAGAGGTTTAATAGCATGACAAATATTTTAGAGTCCAAAAAATGGATCTTAAGCGAAGAGGAGTGTTAGAAAACCTACCCCATCTTGAATAACTAAATAATAAATGAGTAATATATAAAGTTGAAAATGAATAACCTATCATAAGGTTTAAATTTTGTAGATAAAATCTAATCTTAACTATCTAACTTAATAAAGCCTAAGCATGGATAATGTTTCTTATCCATATGCTAGGCTTAAGTTTAGCCAACATTTATTTATTTAATCCGTATGGTGTTAATTAACCAAACATTTTTTTCTTTTTTCTTTTTTTCCTAATAACCAAACATTTAATTTAAATGTCATTAAATCAAGTTTAAATATATTATTTTTGATTTGGGAAAGCTAGATGATGATTTCATTGAATGGAATAATAGACGTAAGCTCAAAAAGACAATTTTAAAGGGCAAATACGCATTGATCCTTTAAATGGCCATACTTTTGATCCGGATGTTAGATTGATACAAATTGTCATAACCCAAGTTTTGGGTTATTTGTTTTCTCTTACTTTTATCCCTTTTATTTCTAATTTTTATTATGTTATTTTATTTTATACTCCTTTATTATTTTATTTATTCCATATTTTTATTTCATTTTATTTTAGTACTTATAACAAAAAAGAAGAAGAAAAGAAATAATTAAAAAAAATATAATATACAAAAATATAAAATACAAAATTGAGAGATAGGTTTAATCGGGAGTATAATTGCATCAAATTACCCGGAAATTAGAAGCTAATAAGGGTTAAATTGAACACAAATTAAAATGAATTAAGGGCCTAATTGAAATGAATTGGAGGACTCGATTGAAAAATTTAGGAAGTTAGTGGATTGATCCGGCAAATTGCTAGTTGAGATAGTGAAGGTTCGTTCACTATCTCCTATATTTGAAAACCAAGAATGGTTTCGATCCTTCCCGGTTTTCTAACCGTTTTGATTTGCTTAGCCAACTCAACAATCCCTCACCATTGCTTGGTTTGCAAGTCGTCTCGTAACGAATTGGAAGGATGAAGAACGTTAGGGAATAAGAGAATGGAGAGAGAAATATTTTGATTGAATGGTTTGAAATAAAGGAAAAAAAATGGAAAATTGAGTTGGTTAGTAAAAAATTGTGTATAAATATTAGTGGTTTAGAGGTTACAAAAGGGTGAGGGATCGAAGGAAGAATGAAAAAGGAAAAAAACAAAGAGAAATTGTAGAGAAAAAATAGTTTTTAGGTTTTCTAGGAAGAACAACCTAGTTTTTCTAGCCAAGGAATTTGACCATATTTGGGTTCCTATAGCCATTTCAATGCATAACCCTCTCAAGTTCCAATTTCGGGACCATCCCAAGCCATCCTTAGTGTCCTAAAATCAACAATCAATCTAGCCTCCCCAGCTTCCTCTAATAACTTGCAAGCAAAGCAAAATCACTACACCAACACCACAATCAACTCATTTTTCTCGGTTTATTCCAATCGGATAACTTAAAAACGTTCATTTTCCATTTTATTGATTTTACATTATTAAGTTTTAATTTTAAATTTAAGAACATGGAATGGCAGTAGCAAAGCTCACCGCCATGAGAGCCCTCTCTCGCTCAACCTCTCCTTACATATTGTTCATGATAGGATGATAAGGAGATTTAGAGGTTCGATTATGTGGGAAGAATTTTAAAACAGGGTATAAAAAATCAGATTAATAGGAGTTCGAGTGGAGGAGGAGGAAGAAGAAAAATAGAGAAAAAGAAAAAAAAAGAAATAAATAGAAATTGCAAGAAAAAGTGAAGAGTTAGGTTGGACTCGGCTTATCCTCGTAATAACCCAAAATTTACTCCTTTTGTTTTATTATCTTTTATTCATTTATTCCTATTTTATTTTTTATTTTTTTATTTTATTTTTTATTCTACTTCATTTTATTCATGTCGGAATTTATTACAAAGAAAAAAAAGAAAAAAATAATAAAATATAAAAACAAAGGAAAGTAGGTAGAAAATTCAAAAAATATTCATCCAGGGGCACAATTGCATTTAAAGAAAGGTGAATTGAGGTAATTAAGGGTATAATCGGACTAATTGAGAAATTCGAACCTAAATTACACCCTAGAAGGACCCGATTGATAAAATTACCCTTTGTAAAGATTAAAATTATACCACGAGGAGGGCATGATTGCTGGCAATTGAAATTTATAGGGACCAACTTAGAATTTCGGATTGAGTGATAGGACTCGCGATGGAGTGGATGACCCGTCGTCCACCCCAATGTAGATTCTCTCCGAAAATCTTTAGAAAAATCTGCCCAAATCCTCCGTAAAATTCCTGTTTTTATTTTGCATTAATCATGGATTCTTGGCCAAAATCAATACCAATAGAAAATCAAGCAATGACCAAATTTTTTGTTTTGATTTTTGCATTAATAATGAATTAAAGAGGAAATATTTTGATAGAAAAATTCGAGATTGAGACTTGATTCTAGAGAAATTTTAGGAAGTTTTGTCTATAAAACGGGTTTGATTTCGGAGGAAAAGGGGAGAAGAATTTTGGGTTGAGACGAATTGAAAATTGAAAGCAAAAGGCTTGATTTTTGATTTTTTAGTCACTCGGGTTTTCCGGGTTTGGGTTCTTGGTGTTATTGGGGCTTAGGTTCGATTCATAATCTATCGGCCCCTTTGCTTCTTTGTTTAGTGTTTCACGGGGCTAAGTTTTTATCTTCACGTTTTTCTTCATTTTTTTGTGTAAGATTCGAAGTCAAATTCTTCGTTTCGAGTTCATCACGTTCCTAGGAGATCTTACTGCCGTTCTCGTTTGCCGGGTTTTTGTTCTTTGCCGTCCGGGTGTGTTCATCAGCTCGAGATTGCTTCTCGTTATCCCCGACTTCTACAAGACTTAATTCCCGAGTCTTGAGTACTACCCGAGCATCCACATTCATCAAAGTCATCTAAAAATTTCAACATCTCCACCCAAGCCTCAAGTTTGCCCGGGTTTGATTTAAATTTTGTCGGTCTCTATTTTTGTATTTTGCTTATGCCAACCATTTATTTGATCACTTGAATTGTTGTTAATTCATATTTTAGTTTAGATCTTAGGCTTTAGTTCAATTGAATAAACGAACCTTGTGTGATCTAGCCATCACAAAAAAAAGAGGGAAATCAAAACTAAAAAGAAAAATGGAAAACAAGAGTAGAACATGAAGAACGATGTGACATAAAAAGAGGGAGAGTAGATCACGAGTTAAGGTCCGGCTTTGATCTAAAAAAGTGTGAAAACAGGTTTGTTTGTGTGAAGCCCAGTCATATTTGATTAAAGGGAGGCCTGGACTAAGTTTAGTCCAGCCCGTGCTCCCTTGTGTAAGCAAGCAAATTAAAAAAAGAAAAGAGAAGGCTGAAATCATTCCGACCTTCTCCAAAAAGAAAAAATGAAACAAAAACGGGAGAGGCTAGGTCTAGCCTCTCCCAAGAAAAAGAGGGGTACCAATGTACCATTTCTTTATTTATTTAAAATGTGTTAACTTTGTTTATTTATCCATTTCTTTTATTTAATTTTTTTCTCTTTAACTTGATTATTCTATTTCTCGTCATATTTTCATGTAATAATTTAGAGTTGATATTTTTTTTCTCTCTTTTTTTTTATGTTATTAGATAATAAAAAAATGAAAAAAATTCTAAAATTTTGGCAAAGTCTCCTACCTGATAGGAACCGACGACACACAAAAAAATATAAAAAAATATATCAAAAAAATAATTTTGACAAAATCTCCTATCTAATAGGAATTGACATCACCAAAAAATATATCCGAAATTTTTGACGAAATCTCCTACTCGGT